CACTTTTCAGTTTTTTATTTGTAAAAAATGTTTTGATTCATGTAAAATTTTGCTTCCATTTCACAATTGTATACCACTTTGTGTTGGTCTTTCACATTTAATTCCAGTGAAATATATTTATGTTTGTGGTTGTAATGTGACAAAATATGGAAAAGTTCAAGGGGTATGAATACTTTTGCAAACCACTGTAGCTCTATCATAAATAGCAGCTGAAAAAAATCTAAGATGGCCACCAAAGCTATTTTTAAAGGGATTTTACTCAGCCAATGTTTGAGATACTGATATGAAAACGTGTGTACTGGTAGCTGACAGAAAGCTCTATATCATATTGAAGCCTCAAGAAAATTCAACAATTGTAGCCAAAGCTATTTCGGCTACTTTTTTCCCATTGGAWTTGAATGGAGCTTTTTTCAACATCCTTAAATTTCTCCTTAATGCTTCTAAATCTTACAGAACCTTACACATTGTATTGTGGTTCTGCTCCTTTTAAAGTCTTTGTGAAAGTTTTAGCTACTTTTTTGCTGGTTTTAGCTTTTTTAAGATATTTCAGCTAAAATCTTCTTCCTTCCATTCTTCTGCTTTTTTATTTTTTTGTACTTCTTTCTGCTAATTTGAGTTATTTATACTTCTTACGGTTGCTTTGTGCTATATTCAGCTATTTTAGCCTTTAGCTTTTAGCTTTTTATGCTATTTCAGCTATATTTTTGCTCCTTTTTAGTGTTTTCTGCGTTTATTTTTGCTTTTTCAGCTTTTCAAGTGCAACTTACTCTTGTACTTTTGCTGTTAAACATGTTCATCGCAATTTCAGCTTCTTCAGCAGCTTTCAGCTAAAGTTTTCAGCAACAGGCATTCATACTTGCATTTTCGCAGGAAATGCAATTTCTCTATTTTTTTAACTATCACTTATTAACCGTTTGGTCATCCATGGTTTGTCAACATTTCTTTTTGCACAATTTTTTTTGMGAAAAATAATTTTCATAAAGCTCCCAAAATAAACAAACACATCATATGCTCTGTTTACATCATCAACGTACACATCCTTCCTGTGAGCAGGGCAGCATCAGCCACAGCCGCACGTCCATGAACAGTGGACTAGTGCCACACAGTGGACAAAAACCAGTCACTGCACTTCTAACCAAAGCAACATTAAATGCTGTCAACATGTTCACAGTTCTATAACACAAACTAAACAAGTTTAAATAGACAATTACTAAACATGTATGTTAACTCCACAGTGTAGGTGGAACGTTGTTAAGATTGTTTCTCTAATGATCATAATGTTGAGTCTTACTGGGGAATCAAACATAAAGTAAAGAAACTAAACTGCTCCATAATTGGTAGCAGCTGCATCTGCAGCTGCAGA